CCCAGCCTCGAGTTGGGTCCCCAGCCTCGAGTTGGGTCCCCAGCCTCTCATTGAATTGCGGAACAAGCTCAGTGAGTTAAGTAGCTGACTCCTATTCCTATCTTCTGAGTACGTCTGGTGAAACACTAGACCATTAGGTGCATCTGGAAAATCGGTCAGTCAGAGAGTTTGTCAGGTCGGGCTCATTTGTAATCTGATTGTAATTTAATTATACTTCATAAGTGTTTTTCCGCTCATCTTGAAATTCTGTTAAAAATGTGTTTTGAAAGTTTAAAAAATAAAGCTCTGATGTTTGTAGTGATTTGATTTATAAGAAAGAATACTTCTTGTGCATCAGTCCTTCTCTTTCACCCCAACACCTGCAAAAAAAACCCTTGCTGTTGCGCATTCTTTTTACTGCTCTATCTCTATCTGTATGTTTTGAATACTTTAGTAAATATTTAATATAATGTATAGGCTCATAGAGCTAAAAACTGTGTTGTTGCGCACAATATGATTGTATGCTAAGGTAGAAGAATTAACATACAAGAGGAATGAGCATTTCTTGTTCCTGACTTTCTAATTCAGTGTTTTCACTGATGTTCAATATGAAATGGTGGATGGATGCAGATGTTATAAATGATTACATTAAGTAGACTTCCTGCAACTGAGAAATAACTTTGAATTCTGTGCTTACAGTTGATTCTGTAATGTATCAAGAGTTTATTAATATCTAGAACTGCATTGAGAAAGAAAAATGTAATTGTTGAAAAGTTTCACGTTTAATTTTGAGGGGCTAATATATAGCGCATTTAATATGGTTGCACTTTCAGAAAAGAGTTCATTTATACACATGCAAGGTTTATCATGGAAATAACAAAATGAGTAATGTTAACTTCATTGGGGACATTTTTAAAACTCTCTTGCAGTTATAACAACTTAAATATTAATTGATAGCCTCCTTTCTCCCAGTTTCTGTTTTTAGAAGTAATGTTACTGAAATCTCCATCGAAATTGTTTTTTAATTTAAAAGCTATTGAGTGTCAGAGTTGGTATCCTGTTTGTTCTCTGGGAGCAAACTTTCAGTTTTAACTCAAGCAAAATTCAGTTGCAGAACTTGATCTCCACTGACTGATTCTTCCCAAAGTGCAACAGGAAATATGTATTAATTTGTACTTGGTGTATTTGAGAATTAGCATGTGAACAGTTAATTGTTTGTTGTGCAGAGGGCAGTTGATGCACTAGCAGCTATTGCAGCAACACACAATTACATTTTGTAACAATTCAGAAGAATCTAAATGGGTTAACATGGAATACCACGAATGGACAATTACAATTTTTTTTTTATTTTAAAACATCTTTAACTAGGGTTTGCCCTATTTAGCCACAAGGGCTACTTTACAAAGGGGCCCTGTCAGCAAGATACAAGATGAGACAAACGACATTGAAAACATCACAAAAAATACAACCTTGTCTGTGAGTGCATTTATATTTGTTTAAAATGTATTTCAGGCTCTCTTTAAGCACTGAACCCAAGGAGTTTTTTTTATTTCAAAGTTGATTAGGATTCAAAGTAAAGGCAGATTGGACTGGAAAGTACTGTGTGGCAAAGATGGAGCAGGCTTGGAATAGATCTGTTTAGAATGACATTTAAAGCAAAATGTGGGTTGGGAAACAAATTGACTGAGTTGGAGGGATACTTATAATCTGTTTCAACTGCCTGTCCACAGTGCAACCCAATCACATTTTTATATATTTATTTATTTGTTCACTTATTCATTCATTCTTTCATTTAATTATTTATCTTCATCAAATTTTATTTAAAATTCTGCAGTGAACGTTGTGTTACATAAGATACCTTATTAGAAGTCAATATAATATCTAGTCATGTCATGAGTAAAAACTAGGTCTAGATTTAAGATATTATTCTCAAGCAGTTTACATTCACTTGCAGGTATGTCTGTAACAAACCAAAAACGAAAAGAAAGTATTAAGAAAGAAATTTCGCGTTCCACCTGTCTCATTTGTGGTCCAGCCCTTTGGCACCAACACACATAACAATCTACCGAACACTGCATTTCAATGATGCTGTTAAGCTCTTCCCTACACAAACCTGCTTTTACTTCCACTTTAAGATGTGGCTGAGGCTGGATTAAGGAAAGCTTGAGGGGAAATTTTAGCTCAGACTGGAATCCAAATTTGAATCTCATAGTCAGAATTCCTAGTGCTGTAGATGTCATGGAGCCTAGGTCAGATGTTTATTTAGGCTAGTGTCTGCCACATTGGCAGCCCAGTGCTAATAACTATTGCAAAAGTTAAAACCCCAAATTATAATTTAAACATGTAAATGATTGTGTAACTTTTTTTTTGATAGGGTGACATCCATGAGGATTTCTGCTCTGTGTGTCGGCGTAGTGGACAGCTGCTGATGTGTGACACTTGTTCTCGTGTGTATCACCTGGAGTGCCTGGACCCGCCATTAAAAGCCATTCCCAAAGGAATGTGGATTTGTCCCAAATGTCAGGAGCAGGTGTGGGCATAGATAGTGCCTTAGACATAATTTAGTCTAATATAGCTGTAGTAGTTTGAGGGTTTTGTTTTGGTAACATTTTTGGTGGGATTTGCTCTTCAGTTTTAATTTCATTATGCCATACAGTGTCTCAAACACTCCAGGGTATACACATAGATATAAATCAGGAGACTAACATAATAAAATTAGCAGTGAATAGTATATGATAAATTACCATCTTTAGCTGTTCTCTGGTTATTAGGGATTACAGTGACCAGTTTATTATCCCTGAGTTAAGTAGTGTCTGCTTAGTTTAATTACATCAGACAGTATTATAGGAACTGAATGTTCTTTCATCTCTGAAATCACGTGTAAATCTAGAATGTGGAGAATGCAAATCAATTCTGTCAGATAGCTGGTAAAGATCTGACGTGACACTCAGTATAAACAGTCTCAATCTATAACTCGACTGAACCAATTGTAATTTAGAACTTCTAGGTACTAGTTTGCCAAACTTTCTGAAGAGAGATCCATAATAGGTGGTATGCGTAAAAATACTGCATGTGTATGAAAGCATTTTTGTGTGGTTTTAATTAAGGCATGTTATTTGCGTCTCAGTCTGCTGCACCTCTCCTGAGAATATCTGATACCACCACCCACCTAAAGAGACTAACGGTTTATTCTCTACCATGGTCATCCATTTGTCATATGCATTCCCAGGCACAATTTGGACATTGCTGTTGATATGCCATGATTAAAAAATATCTAATTTTCTTTCATTGAAATGCAAATTGTACTCTGAGGCATCAATACAAAGGGAAAGAAAATTACAAAGAATAAATTTACTTCAGTACTTTACGGATTGACCAGCCTTTACCCAAAGGCAAGTCTTGTCTTGTCACTCAAGTCAGTTTTTTCCTTGTTAATTAAGCAAATTATATTTGTTTTCAGCAAATGCTAGGACTGTGAAGAGTTTAAGCAACTGACATGTTCTATCCATCACTGTTGGAAACATTCTGTTTTTAGATCCTTAAAAAAGAAGAAGCAATCCCGTGGCCTGGAACATTAGCTATTGTCCATTCTTACATTGCCTACAAAGCTGGTAAGAGTTTGCTATTCTCTAAGCCTGTCTACAATAAATGTTGACTCATCATTGATTGTATATCAGATCAGCTATGAATTAAACTGATCCTTTCTTTCTTCAGGGCAGAGATTTTGTGTAGTCTTGTGTCTTTCTTTCCTCCCTCTTCTTCTATGGTTGTATGGATTGAAGTTTTATGTGCAGTCCACCCAGCAACTCAAAAATATAATAAAAGAGCCTGTGGGACAAAAAGGGTGCAACACCCTGTTTTATTTTTAAAAGACTATGCTCATTTGGATTAATACAATTCCTTTTCATTGAATCTGCTATTTTTCTCAGCTGTTGTATAATCTTCAGTATTAGCTACATTTGTTAAACTTGTTGTAGGTTCTCAAATTTTATTTATTTCTATTCAGCAAAAGAAGAAGAAAAGCAGAAGTTGTTGAAGTGGAGTGCGGAGCTAAAGCAGGAGCGAGAACAGTTAGAACAGAAAGTCAAACAGCTGAGTAATTTCATTTCGGTGAGTAACACAAACTCCAGGCACAAGAGATTGTTGGTCTGACATAGAAACATAAAGTTATAGTCATAAATTAGAAGTAAGAAGCAACACAGATCAGTGTTTTCTGGAAGGTGACAACTGTTTTTTGTGCAGTTTGTTTTCATGTTTGAGAAGAACAGACTGGAGTTTTTAGTTCAAGAAGTACTGTCTTGTTTGGTGGAAGTAGCAAGAGAAATCTTCAAAAATGTCAACGATACAGCTGTGATGTTTTAACCCACAAGTCATTTTGTAACTATGTTATGAGAAAACAGTGTAACTGGACAAGAAGGTTGTATGTACCAACCAATCAAATTATAGGCCTAACATAGCCAATCTTATAGCTATGGCTAGCGAATCATCATTCAGACTTTACTTTTTCCTCACTGGCTGTGCAAACTTACAACAGGTAAGTTTGAAGATGAGATACTGGTTCCAGAGAATTATAGTTAAGGTTTGATATAGTTTGTTTTAGGAATATAACTTTTAAATAGTAATTTGGAACTGCAGAACTTGAGTACTGCAAAGAAACAAAGACACATTTTGACAAGTAACAATGTCTTCATGAGCATAAGAAAAAAGTTTCAACAAAATGTCTTTTCTCAGAAATACTCAGTATAACTTTTATTATGGGGATTGAAATTTTGTAAATGTAAGATAAATGAGAGCACCTGATTTGAGATGCTGGTAAACAGATTTAAAGTAATTTCAGTTCAAAGAGTGGCTCATGTTTAATAGGATCAAAGTTGGGAATTGACTTTTTGATGACATCTTTCTGAGTTTAATGATGCAATGAGGACAGATCAAAAACTTTATCCTTTAGTTGAAATAAAGGACTGTTCCGGGATATACTTATTGTCATCATCTGTCAAAGGATATTTCATACTGGTGTACTGATATTTTAACTATTCAATATAGTGTGCTTGCATTAATTGGCTTTATTTCAAGATTCCAATTCCAGAGCTTGGAAACCAATTGTTGGATTGGTGTTAAGGTTTAGTTTTTGAAGGAATCCACTTTGTTAGAATTTCACAACCAGAATGTATGGTGCTGGCCTGCCAGTAGGGTGAATTTTAATAACAGATTAGGTTTTGTAATTTGAAAGCTGTTTTCACTTAGTGATTACATGGTGGAGCACCCTTTTTGACTGTGCAATAACTGGAAAGACAGTCTGTACCAAGTACCCTACAGTAGTCAAAATGCACAGCAAAATTGAGCAAGAACAGAAATAGAAGCATAATAAACTTCAAATTTCAAACTGAAGACAGCCAGTCTGGGTTTACCTGCCACAACAAAATTTTATGTAGTGCCTGTTTCTGTAAATAAGGTTAGCACACAATTTGATACTTTAAAATTTGTGTGAAGATTTCAGATTTCACGTTGACTCTGTCCACTGACTCGACCCAATGTTTCTAATATACTCAGTGGTATAAGGGATTTTTTTTGAGGCTCTTGCATCTAGCCTGGCCTCACTGCATTCTTGCTTAGTGAATCCAAATTAGAAAATTCTCTCTATGATAATTCTCTGTTACTGGCCTATTGCTTATGGCAGATTCTCTTTCTGCTTGTCTGAAGGCTGCTTCCAGGTTGCCCTCCACTGCCTTTCTATAAAAGTCACATAGATAAAAGCCCACAAGCAAAAGGAAATCTCTGGAGAAACTGTTCTGAGCATAACTCTACAGGGGTGTATCAGTTAAAATGTTAAGTTAATTATCTTCGGCTTCAAACCTGTCCTTTAATCTGATATGTATTTGGATACTTTAAGATTTCCCCTTGTTTACCAGTCCTCCTTTGATATTGGGAAATCATTGCTTTTTGGGATGGTTGTGTATTCGCTGTCTGCATCATGAAACTCAGAAAGGAGTCATCAGTTGTTTATTGTTTCCATTTCCAACTCAGTTTGTATTAAACATTGACCAACCTTTGAATTGAAGTTACTTGGAGTCTCTTTACCAGTTTCTCAAACCACGTGCTCTAATTTACCTTGCATACACAATTTTAATCCCCATAATAGAAATTATAATGATCATTGCTGAAAAAAATACATGCTTGGTTGAAGCTTTTTGTCTTGCATCCATCAAGACTTTGTTTCTTTGTCAAAATATGTCTTTGATTTTCAATAGTACTCAAGTCCTGCACTTTGAAATGGTTTGTTAAAAAGTATATTCCTGAATCGTATGAATCGTGAAATCGCATTGTTCATAAAGTTGAAAAAATTAAAGTAGTTGATGAAGCTTTTATGCCACGAAGAAGGAATGGCTGCAGCGCCAAATTTGTCTGGAATTTCTCGTGCTGTATCTAAGATAGTCCTGATTTTTGTATTTTTTGAAGAAGGGTCCCAACCCAGAACGTCAACTTTCCTGCTCCTCTGATGCTACCTGGCCTGTTGTGTTCCTCCAGCTCCACACTGTTTTGTCTCTGACTCCAGCATCTGCAGTTCTTGCTATCCTTGATTTTTGTATGTTTGTTTATTATATTTGTACCTCCAAATACCTGATACCATACTGATAAATCCATACTGAGCCACCTACATTAACTTATCCTTTCTCCAATATTCCAACTGGTCTGACTACGTCTTTGCATTCTGCTGCTCTGTCTCTACTCCATTAGCTTTATAAACTTATTGACTGCATCTAATGTCTTGTGAACCTGAATCCCCCAAATCTTTCTGTTCTTGTATGACACCCAATATTCTCCCATTCAAGTATAATTATTGTTTCTATTATTTTCTCAGCAAAATTGACCTCTTATTTACTTAATGAAGTTCCAGCTGCCACAATTAGGATTATCACTCAAGGCTTGTATGAGAACTAATATGGTGTATCCTGAACCTGGACATTGAAAGATTATATGGAATTGTATGAAATGCAATTTAATATGTTTTTTAGCAGCATCAATAATTGATCACACTAAAATAAATTTTTCTTTTCTTTAGAAATGTATGGAGACTAAGAACACTTTACTTGCCCGACAAAAGGATATGCAGACTTCATTGGAAAAAGTGAAACGGCTTATCCAATTGATCCAGGGTATACAGCTCACAAAAAATGCCACACTGACGGATGAGACGATCAACAGCCCCACAGACTGCATGAACTCCCCTGCCACTGCATCTTCACCTGTGAACTGTGATAGTAACTCAGAAACCAAGTAGCTGAAAGAACAGGCTGGATTTTGGAGAATGTATAATTCTGGGAACAAAATTGTGATGGGCAGTTCCTGATTTGCCAACTTAAAGGGAGATTCTGTGCTAGATTGTGTTCTTATAGATCCATATTGGGAGTACAAGCTGGGTAAGGACCAGCGCCAAGCCAAGTGACAATACCAGTGTGTGCCTGCTGCCACCAGTTTGATTTTAAGTTTGCCTGCTCTTCAGGGAAATAGGTAGAAAACAATGGCAGAAACCTAGTCAGCTGTCCTGGTCTTGAATTGTATTCTCACAATTCTCAACTCCAGGATTACTTGAGCAGAATGGCAGAACATTTAGTACAATGCAACATAATGGAGAAAAGAAGTTGTGCAGAATGCAAAGGTTGGCATGAGAACAAAGAGGTAGCAATCATTGAACTGTGACTGAAGTAGTGAAGGTTGAGTCAGAATTACAGACAGAGAGGTGCATTGTGTAATGAACACAACACAAAGTACAGAGATTCTCTCCTTATTTTATTTACGAGGAACAGAAATGTAGGTTTATTATTGGGATTGGTAGGCGGTGGCACCAAAACCATGCATGGCTTTTGATGAAGAGTATTTCTTTCTTAATTTGAAAAAAGAGTCACATGCTTGTTCATTGTTCAAGAAAGTTTTTCAGTGCTTGGGCACTGGAAAAGGTACAAGAGGGACAGACTGAATTTGTCCTGAGATTTTTGTTTTTTTTTAAAAGGTTAGGGAAATATTCAGGTCTTCCTAGTGTTAAAGAAATTAGATCAAGTAAACTGTTGAGTACTGTTATTTCCTAATGAGGTGATTTATAGAAAACAAAGTGTTAGAAATTGAGCAGATTCTGTATATATAAATATATATATACACACACACATATATATTAAAAAAATTCTGTGTATATATAAAAAGAAAAAAAAAATCTGTTATTGTCTGAACTGCCAAATGCTTCTATATTGAACCTGCAGGGAATGATCTTCAGTTTACTGGGGAATATACTGGAACAGTTTTACAGTTCTTACTATTTCCATCTTTAAGACAAGTGGATTGAAGGTCACAGCTAACGAGATCAGTTAAGTAAAACGGTCATAGGTCATCAGTTGTGTAAAGAATGCAAAAAGTCTGTCTGTTGTGCAAGTGCAGCCGGAATGGAAATTTATATTATCTTTGCATTAATATTTAATGTTGGTTGTACTTAATTCACATATCAGGGTGTGCTTGCCTTTACATTTGGCACTAGGTAAAAATTTCAGCCATTTATACTTACATTTGTAATTATTAGCCAAACAATGTGCAGATGGAAGAGACTATTACTGAGGAGTTTCTTCTAAATCAGTTATGTTGGGGATTCAGTTTTCCTTATTGCTGCTTGCCCAACCTGGCAATGGTACGTAAATAGAACAGAATTTGGAAATTTTTGGGAAGTGGGTGCGGGGATAGGAATTTGCCTAGAAGCGGTCGCAATTTTCTGCTGTTATTTAGTGATGATCTTTTACAATGTTTTTAACTCAATTCTGGAACATAACTCATTAAAGATATTTTTAATAGAATTGATATTCAATATAAATGATTTAAAAAAACCAACAGACTAATGAGCAAAACTGTCTCAAAACCAAAAGATGAAAGCTTTTCAAAATTAGTTCACAACCAAATAACTGCTGTTGAGGACTGAAGTAGTATTTTAAATAAATGAAAATGGTTGCAGAAATGTTTCTGAATGTCAACCAAAATCTTTGTTTTTCTTTATTCTCTATCCCCTTAACATTAGTACTTTCCTCAGCACTTCAATGTGCAAACGCATCCTTGCCCTACATATTATTCTACGTCAGGACAGTCCTGCTTGCAGGTGTCTCCACGACTTCTGTTGGGGCTCTTTCAGTTCCACCTATTAGAATGCTCAATTAGGTAGGAACCTAGAAACTGATATTCAAATTAAAGAGATTGATGTGACAACTGTGTTTTAAAATTGACTAAGTATTTATCAGTTGGTAACTGCAGTAAATTGATAAATATTCCTACTTGAGTTTAACCATAATTTATTCTTGTGCGGTTAATTTCCTGCCAATTTTGGCCTACTCTGATCATGAATATATCACGATTGGCTCATCGCTAGCCTGTTGCTAGAAAGGATATCAGATTTGCCGTGTACCTTTGTTCCTATATCAGAATTAAATTTAGTTCCTCCTCCTACAATGTAATTATTTCCATCACACTTTGTGTGTGGCAAATATACAGTAATAAACATATAGCAGAGTTTGTCTGTAAATTATTTTTTGCTAACGTTCACGAACTTTGCTTCATTAAAGTTATCTTTGGAAACTACTTAAGTCAATAGCTTTTGCAGCTCATTGTCAGCTCATTAGTAGGTACTATTAGTACCTACTAATTTAATTGTTGATCATAGCAGTAAACTAACTTTCCAGTTATATATTCACACTTTGTACAGAGAACTTTCTGAAGCATTCCAGTTTATTGATTTGGTAAAACTAATGTTGATGAACTACACGGATCACAAGTCTCGTCTGAGTTAGTTGCTTGGTGCTGAGACAGTTGAAGGCAGTGCTACAGTATTTGATAACTGTGAGGAAGATGAAATCAGTTAAAAATCAAAGCTGTGTTCACGAGTAGCTTCCACTGGAACGCACAGAGTGCAGGTATTGGTTATCTACAGAATGGCTTGACTATAATGTCCTCCATGGGCATTCACTGCCAAAACAAATGAATGAGAGTGCAACTTCCTTGTGTGATGGGTGCCTAATTTTACTGTATGACAAGGAGTAGAAGACAGGTGAAAATGACAAAGAGAAGTCCTAACAATGAACATTCAAATCAAAAGTAGAAGGTAGTTACGTGAAGGATCCCATATTTACTTCTCTTATTTCTTTGATTAATATGCTTTTGAGCAGCGTTTTTGAACTTTGTAAGTATAACTCCCAGCTGTCATTAGTTGATCATCCTTAAGGGTATTTCCCGTGGTGCAACCGTGGTGCACTTGTATCAGATAGAGTTTCATATAGCAAATACAACAGCAATGGCTTACATTAATGTTTGGAAAATAGAACAAAAGTCCACCTTCTTTGCTCTGCCCATTCCCACCTTCCTTGTTGTTACTTTGCTCCTGAATAGTGTACAGCAATCCATTATGTCTTGCATCCCTTGCTGAACATACTTTATGAGAAGCTATTGGATGCACAAGTTTTTTCAGGAACGCTAATCTCTTTTTGCCTTGCGGTGTCATTTTGTTTTTGTCACACAATCTCTACTGCCTTCCACGCTAGCATAGACCTTTTTCATTCGTTCTGTTCACCCACCTTTCCCTGCTATGTGCTTGCTTGAAACTGTTAAGCATCTAACTTTTGTCAATCTGACTTGTTGGGTATTTCCAGCATTTTACAAATTTAGAATCATCTACTGGAGCAAGCAGTGTAAATGAGATACTAAACAGTCTAGTACAGTGTTTGAAATCTGGAAGAGTTTATCTGTGGTTATTTAAACTAGACATTTAAACAAGCTCCTACAAAATGTTTCAGAATATGATATAAAAGCATTTTTAGAGAAATTAATCAAGTTTTTTACACAATCTTTGGCTATCAGCCAGATTTAAACAATTGGCTGATCAAACTTTTACAGCCTATAGACAAAGACATAGTGTAACTTGGAAGTATTGCAACAACTACAACTACACATCCACCAAATGCTGTAAACCACTAAGCGGATCTGGCAGCATTTGTGGAACCAGGAAGGTAGGATCAATGTTTCAGGTTTTGTAACCTTTTGTCAATTTTTTTTTTAACAAGGAGACTGCAAAACTGGGAGAGGAGAATGAAGACCTTACAGAAAGTGAGAATTCTAATCAAGTTGAAATGAGTGGAACAGATTAGGGAACAGAGGGTGAAAATCGAAAGCAAGCAGTGAGTACAGACAGCAGCATAAGAAGAATCCTTCATATGTTGGCTGAAAGAAGAGGTCAGGGAAGAAGTCTGAGTAGAACTGAAGTGAAGAATGTAGAACATAACATTCAAAATGGGAGGGATCGCTTGGAAATATGTGGGCTTCCATAAAAAATGTTTTATTTGGAGGAAGTAATTGAAGTTAAAGGAAAAGTTGTTCGATGTGACAAAATGGTCAAAAGATTTGAAAGATTACCTCTAGGTTTCCCTTTCTATGGATGAGGCTGAGTGCTTTTGCATTTTATGTTTTAAATTTAAATTTCCAACATCTGTAATATTTTGCTTTTCACAATTCTGTTTTATCTGAGTTTGGGAAGTCGAAGACAATTTCAACCCAAAATTGATGTTCAAGCATATTCCTTTCATGCCTTGTTTGAAGCACATTTAACTTCAGTGATTTTTCAGAAACATTCAACCTGATGCATTGATGAAGTGTCCTTGTTCATTGTCAATAAGCATTTTAGCATGACTGAGTACTTTTTCCAGTTTGTACTGTGGCTGTAAACTGAACATTGCTCTTTCTAAACAAACATGCTAGTATTTCATGAAGGTGTTTCCTTTATCTTGAATGTGATGTTTACCACTATTTTAGGAATCAAGTGAAAAGCAAAACAATTTTATCCTATTATTTGGCAGAGACTTGTGAATGTTGCCGACATCTTGCTCATGAAGATCAAAATTGTATTCTACTCTTGATTTGAAAGCACGTTAGCGTTTCAATGACGATGTCCACGCTGCAATCTACATAGGCAATATTCCATTCCAATTAATGTACATTATTTTTGAGTTTAATCAAAGTAAGGAGCTGTGCTCAGATTATACTTAGGATTGTCCCATTAAAGGACAGCAACAACTATGCAGTGTCAATGTTCTACTTTGGTATTCTTTAAGATTTTGTCACTGTACCGTGCATTGTGACCGTAATGTTTCATACAGGAAGATGATCAAGGACTTCTCGCTTAAAATAATTTACCTGAATAAATAGAGCTAGTGCCCCTGTTCAATGCCACCTTATGTACAATATTCTGGACCATGTAACACTTTATCTGAACATAATATATCTCTCTTTTACTAATATGTTCTCCATTTTAAGGAGCAAGATTACCTAGTTTAGGTTTTGCCTTTTGAATCAAACTTGCAAATAAAGTAACTATGCCAGTAATCATTTATAAAACTAACTGTCCCCTACTCAACAGCCAGTTTCCCAAAGAATGTGTGGATGTATTTACTTCATTGTCTGACAGACTCATTGTTTATAATGTCCAGCTTTTCCCAATTAGGTTTCTATTTTCCCCAACTCATAGAGTGATCAGGTTGCCAGCTCTGCAGGTGCCCTTCCTGCATAACATTGGTAAGGTGTTGTCCGAACCCAAGTAAGTATGATAATATCTGCAGATGCCAGAGCAAATTCCCTTGTTACTGGAACATCATAATGCATTTTTTTTTAAAATCCCAAACAGCATGATGGTAAACTCAAGTCCCAACAGTATGGCGAGCATAACATAATTATATTGCGCATTTGCAGTACTTGCTAATAGTTTTGGAGAATTGGGAATTGTTGGGTGGCTAACACTCCTGAGCTTCTCCTGGATTTTCACCCCATTGTGTATAAGATGTATTCCCCTCTCAGATCATTTGTTTCTCAGTATGCATAAAACTCTCTGATTTATCTTAAAGACATCTGGGAATCTCCAAAGGCTCTCTGATAGCTCCAGAACTCAAGACATAACATCTCTGATTCCATGTCCTTGTATCCCATCACAAGGGATGTCCCTCTGTAAATACATCAACATATGCTATACTTTAATTACTTGTCTCTTAATTCATTGCATAGAATCTACAACACAAAGAAATCAATTGTCCAAATAACGTGGCGTTTATGATCCGTGCGTGCAACCTATCACTGAATTTTGCCTAGCCAAGTTAACTTGGCCCACTGTCCATTCTCCCACTTGGATGTGACTAGCTTTGCCTTTAAATGACTTGTTGCCATTCATCTCATATACTCCATCCCATATTTTAACTACTGTCTGGTTAAAGAAGTGTCTTTAGAATTCCATCTTGAATTTATTAATATCTGTCCTACATTATTAGCCCCTATTTTTGGACTTGTTCTCAAGTGGAGCCATTTTCTGAATGCCAACCCTGTGAAATCCCTTTGTAATTTTAAAGACCACTCAGACGTAACCCCCCTGCCTCAGGCTATTCAAACTTTTCTGAAAATTATAGCATGTCATTCTTGTAACTCTTTTTCATACAATCTTGAATGCCTCGATTTTCTTTTTGTAATATGGAGGCCAGAATTGTATCCAAGATTTCAAATAATGAAATGAGTCAAATTCAAACAATTTTGCATAAACTGTCTTAGGTTCAGCATGTCCATGTGGCAGACCTGCTGCTGGTTAAGTATCCAAGTCCTGTATCCTCTCAATTTTTCTTTAATTTGTGGCTGATTCGTGTAAGTGATCAAACTTTTTTGCTCAGCTACACTGGTATTAATTTGGAAAGTCTAGTTTGTATATGATTTGTGTGAGATTCTTGCAGCTTGGAGGACGACACCCCCCCCCGCCCATCGTAACAAGTAACTACAGTGTTATTTT